TCACAACCCTCGATGTTGCTCCCGCACCTCGCTCAGCCAGTGAGCGGGAACTGGTCTGTATGTGGGATCCAAACCCTCGGCGGGAGCGCCACCGCGCTCCCAAGTGGCGCACTGTAGCAGTGTGCCACCGGGCCGGCTGAACTTTTCTATAAAAGAAATATCCTGTATCAGCAATTTGGTTACCCTGAAATACAGTTCCTATAGGAAAGGCAGGACAAATGCTTCTTTATTCCCGTCCTTTATTCTATTTAACAGCTTTCATGAGGTATAATTTACATACCATAAAAGTCACCCATGGTAACTGTAGTTAAGTGATTTGTAGAACATTTATACACTTGTGAATCATCATCATTATCCAATTTATCATATTTCTATCACCCCCAAAAGTTCTCTGATGCTGTTTGCAGTCAATCCCTATGCCCACTCCCCAGTCCCCAACAACTGCTAATCTATTTTCTTTCTCTATACATTTGCTTTTTTTTTTTTTTTCCTTTTTGTCTTTTTTCGTGACCGGCAATGGATCGAAACCCTCAGTGTCGCGCCCGTACCGGACCGGGACCGGCAACGGGATCGCAACCCTCGGTGTTGCTCCCGCACCTCGCTCAGCAAGTGAGCGGCCGGTCTGTATGTGGGATCCGAACCCTTGGAGGGAGCGCTGCCGCGCTTCCCAGGCGGTGCACTGTAGCAGTGCGCCACCGGGCCGGCCCTATACATTTGCTTTTTTAAGAAATTTCATAAAAAGAGTTCATATAATATGTAGTCTTTTCTCTCTGGCTTCTTTCATTTAGAATAATGTTTTGAGGATTATCCACGTTGTTCCACAGCCAAGCAGTTCATTTTGTTTTATTGATGAACAGTATTCTATTATGTGGAACTCCCCCTCCAACCCACCGTTTACCATTTGATGGACATTTGGACTGTTTCCAGTTTCTGACTATTACGAACAATATTGATATGGTTATGTGGATATATGTTGGGTTGTATGCTAAGTATTGCTAAGTATACGTTTAACTTTTTAAAAAACCGTCAATCTGTTTTCCAAGTTTACTACATCATTTATTCCCATCAGCAATGTATTTCTATTTCTCCACATTATCCCTGAGACTTGATATTGTCAGTCTTTTGGAATATAGCTATTTTGGTGGGTGTTAAAGGTATCTTATTGTACGGAGGTACTTCAAAACGTTTTTAGAAAAATAGAATTAAGGGCCGGCCCGGTGGTGCACTGGATAGTGCGCCACTTGGGAAGTGCGGCGGCGCTCCCGCCNTGAGTAGTATTCCATTGTGTAGATATACCACATTTTCCGTATCCACTCATCCGATGATACAAGAAGATGGAAAGACATCCCATACTTTTCCTTTTTTTACCCCCTGTTTTGCAGTCTTTCTTTGTCCCCTACCTTTTTAATATTAAAAATTAAAAACACTAAAAGTGGAGAGAATGGAATGATGAAATCCCATGTACCTATTATTCAGCTTCAATAATTTTTGACATTACCAATCTTATTACATGTTCACCATGCCACTTAAAAAAATTGTTGGAATACTTAAAAGCAGATTCAATACATAATGTCATTTCACCACAAATACCTCTAACAGATAAAGGCTTTAAAAAATATATAACCACCACTGATATCACACGTAGAAAAAATAATAATTAATAATTACTTAAGGAAACCAAATATTTAGTCATTATTCAGATTTCCCTAGTTATCCCCACGATGTCTTTTTATATTGGCTTAAAATCAAGATCCAGTCAAGGTGTGGTTTGCACATTATGTATGACTATTTTTATCTCTTAAGTTTCTTTTTTTCTATAATAGTTCCCCTT